GTGTTTCGTCTTTGAAGTAAAAACGTATTGCATTCATTAAAACAAAGCAGCTAGTCTATTCACCTGCATCTACCTCTATTTGGCACTACGCAGGAGGTCCTATACGGCCGAAAGCTGTTACCTTGATGTAATGGTCGGACTTGCATATCACAATGACCCAACAAGCTATGCCGATGAGACTCTTATTCCCTCGAGGTCTGACCTTGCCAGAAAGGTCTGTTGGTAAGAAGAAAAGTAGTTATGGTTGTAGTGGTGCCACGTTGATGCTGCCTTCCCAAAGAGAAGGAGGTTTAGAAAAGATCAGCCCCCAAAATACCATACTCCTTAATGTCTCACTGTCTTCCAGTGCCGGTGGTATGGATTCGCTATATCTGGTGTTAAAGAAACCAAACTTCAAAACTGTATCATACAAAGAGCTGTGTGTGACAGGCCTCATGTAGATTTCTTATAGGCCCTGCTGTCATACAAATGGTTTCCTACTTTCCTACTTCAGGTACCTCAAGATGAAATAGCATTCCACGGTGTGGACAACTGGAAAGCGTTAACCACCCACGCCCCTCCAGTAGCACACAAGACCTAATACAATATCACCCATTCTATTCAACTTTATCTCCTTATTTGCCTTCTCCTCCTGATACTAATATTAAGCCTCTAACACCTTCCCCAACCTCTCATTCTGCAATTATTACCAAAGATCAGTCATCGAAACTTCATTCCCAGTCTCATAAGACCCTGACATCGATTTCATATAGAAGTTTTCAACATCCGAACCCTACGCCAAATCGGACCGAAAGCGTCACTCGCCAGAACTCTGGAATATGTAGCCATGGGTGTATGCTCTGTCTTTGAGACACGTAAACAAGACCCGACTGGTGTTACTGAATTGACTTCACTTAGACATAGTAGTGATTTTTTAAAAATCGCCTTACCAGTATCCAGAGCTACAGTTCAGATGATGCAAAGGATAAAGTCTACGAGAAGCTGTCAACTTTACTACAGAAAGCAACACGTTCAGACGTAGTCATAATAGCAGGTGAAGTTAACGCTCAAGTAGGGAAACTGAGTCAACACGAAAAGTATCTTAAGGGTATTTAAGGAATCCCATGTGAACGAACCGACAACGTTGATTGTCCGTTGCAATTTTGCCCCAGCAATCACTTGTTTCTGACCAAAACTATTTGTAGACATAAGAAGAGACACTGTCTCACACGGTGTCCGCTCAAATCAATCCAACGATGGGCAAATATGGATTACATTGCCATAAGCCATCGTTGGTGGGAATCGGTGGAGGATTGCCTCTTTCTGGAGTATCAGTCAGGACTCTGATCATGCACTAGTGTGGGCTCGTGTATGTCTGCACCTTCTTACTGGCAGGGAACAGGCGACGGTAAAGTTAATTTGTAGTAGACTAGAAAATGAGAACGCCAGACAATTATTTAGGCAGCAGTCAGTCAAGCATTTATCTGAACGTGTTGGCAATGCTCATCCTGAAGAAACCTGGCGTGATATTTAGTCTGCTGTGGAAACACCGGTGAAGACAGTTGGTAACCTGCTCATAAAGGTTAGCAAATGTTATCGGATTTCCACAACGTTATTCAAAGTGACTGATGTGAGAAGGATGATCCTAGCTGGCTCTGACCGCTACGAAGAGCGAAACCAACATGAACGTAAGTTGACCAACAGTCTTCTCAATGATCGCGAGCAGTAGTGGGTGACAAAACAGAGAGATGGAGAAAGCATCATGGTTGGGTAGCACTCGCCAACTATTTAGATTCGTTAAGGATACCGGCAAGAAGAAGACGATGGTGAATGAAACCATCACCGAAAAGGATGGAACGCTGATAACCTCCCGGGACAGGTAGCTAGGACGTTGGGGGTAGGGGGGATACTTTGAAAAGTAGCTTAAAGCGCAGTTGAAAACCGGCCACAATGGGGCTAATGTATTCATTCCGTGGCATCTTCTAAAGCTTGAATATTGGCACTAACTTTTTTCTTCAGATTGTTTATTCTGTCCCACTACTTTATCTTCTTTTATATGTTTCTTTTCCATGCAGTAATATGTGACAAATTGAGCTGATGCACCTGTGTGCCAGGTTCTACGTAGATTTTGTCAGTCAGTCTATGCTCAGAATCAGCAAATTTTTTCTGCCATCACTCCTGTGATAGTATCTGACCACAGGGTAATATAAGTTTTGTTTGCAAACATGATTGATGATTTTGATGAGCGGATTGCTGGAAGATTCCAGGATTAGATCAGTTGTCACCATCAATTCCAACAAAGGATCAGGCACTATTGCACAAAGGTCCAAGTTGCCACGCCTCATATCAGCACTACAAATAACAAAGTACTAGGATGAGAGATGAAGAAAGAGAGGAAAACCGGTCAATTTAGTAGGACGCAGCAAAAGATAGAAAAAAGGAGTGAGAAAATTCTGATTTCAGTATAGCGGCTAATGTGAAGATAAACTGTGGATACATCTGCACCTCTGACATCGAGTCTGAACCACATTACCTAGTCTCCGACGGCTAGTTTCGGTTGTCACATATACCCCAACCAGGTAGTCTCCATCCCCCTGCATGGTTCATTTAAGCAGTCACTGACTCCATGCTCTGATGTCGTTTTAGTCTGGTTGCCTCTGAACTTTACATAGCCTGAACCTACTTCAGCTAGCATTGCTCGATGAGGTAAACGGTGACTAGGCATGCATAACACACCTTAGTTGATGAAGGTATACAACCTTATCAACTGACTTTCCTTCCTAAAACTCTAGGCTTGACCTCTGCGTTACTGACTTCGTGGAACCATGACACATGGCCCATGTTACGAAGGTGATAGCAATCAAACACCTAAGGCCTTCTCATATCCTCTACTTCTAATTGCCCCGTTTCACAGCCTTATAGTAGAACAGCGTGAACCACAGGACAGTATACTCGAACCTTAATAGGTAATCCAATATCGCAGTGGCACCACAGATGGAGTAATTTGACGAAAACCACCATGGTTAGGTAACTGTCTTAGCTTAATAACGGCAAGAAAACGATGGTTAGTGAGACCATAATCGAAAAAGATGAGACGCTGATATCCTGATAACCAGAATTATTTTCTGGATGTTGGTAGAGTCTACATTAATTCTGCTTTAATTCTAAATCTTCAGACGTCGATTTTGACTACCGTGTTGATCTTACTCAAGATAGTTCCTATCGTTCCTCACACGATTCAGACTCATTGGCTACTGACACATTTTAGTTTGACCCAAGGGGATGTTTCGCAACTAGATCCTACTCTAAGGGAATACCACTTCGGAGGAAAGGATGGTTTACTGTACACAATGCAAATCCCACAAACTACATACAATAAACGCTTACGATTTCATCAACTGAGTTGTCTTTTTTGTTGATTAATCTAAGCCTGACTTCTTTACTGTTTATAAATGGCAACTGATTGGCAGTTGGGTGGTGCCAGAAAGGTGACAGTGATTCAGGGCATGAAATCTTCTCAAAAGTTCTATTGCTGTTGGTTGTTTGTAACAGCCACCATGAATTAAGAAAGCGTACACTACTGATCTGTGCGATCTGTATCCATCCGGCATTCCGGTGGAGTATTTAGCAAAGTAGACTCCTACAGAAGTCCCCAAACAATATGAGACATGTCCAGTGAAGCATCTTCCTATTGTTTCCACTTAACCATAAACCTCATATTAGGAAGTATTTAGCCTATTTTCCTATTTGATCTGTGCTAATGGTTCTGAAAAAACTCTTTCTCCAGCTTGCACAACAGTTTACGGAAATACAGAAAAATGTAAGATTCTACTGCCACCTAAAACCTTCTTAGACACGTTTCAGTAAACTAGTAAAGGCTGGAAACCTCCTTGAGACTCTATGTATAACTTACAACCTATTTTTGATGAAATGGTGTCGGTGTTGTGAAAGTTATCTGTATCATGTATACAGTTACAGCATAAATAATCAAACTTACAGTAGTATGACGTTAATATGTTCGCCTTCCAAAGTTATTGGAAATGAATATCAGAGTTCTTTAGTTTTTAGAATATGAAACCGTAAAAGTCTCTGTAAAATGACTCTTTGAAACTTTCCATTGAATGGTTTCAATGGAAAAAGCTTAATCCTAAGTAGTACTTATATAACTGATAGAAGTTATACCTGATAACAAAGGGTTAATCAAAAGCCCTGTTCATTGGTCTCCCTAAGCTGATCCAGCTATCAGCAACCATTCTCTACATTGTTTTGCTCAGTAAATATCTTCTTAAAGGGTTATGAACAACAAAAAAGAGAAGTTTGGGAAAATTCAAGACCGAATACACTTAATTCACTAACGACATTTAAAGATATACATAGGATGACATAGGTCTAACGTCGACCCCGAAATTTCAGGGTTCCGAAAGAATTTCAGCTTATAACTTGGCACACGAATTGCCAAGAGTATGAACTATGGATATGCAATTTTTCAGCCTATTTCCTCATTATTTTCCAAAGAAATTCATGATTACATTTCATCAGTGAAATTTTTCATCGTAACCTTTTTGTAAGAATAGGTTAGGTTTTCGCTAGAATTTCGTGGTATTTTTAAGAGTTCCTCGGTTATCCTCAACATTTTATTAAAGTACGGAAAGCCTTTAGTCCTAGGACCAAATTCAGGTTCAGTGCATTTATTTATTAGGAAATTTATCGAAGATGAAACGAATGTAGACGAAGGAATACTGCAAAAAAATCAGATTCTTCACTAGTTTTTTTCTTGATGTTTGATTTGAGTTCATTAAGCGTTATATCACTAGAAAGTCTAAGATGTCAGCTATACAATGGTGTATAAATTATATTTTTACGACAAACCGTTCGGACGTTGCAGGCTGTTTTATGCAACCGATCGAGGTATTCACCACTTAAGCTGTGTAGTAGAAGTGACATACGCACGCGAATAAAATTATGGTGCGTTGTGGTCAAGAAAATAATCTATATAAATAAGCTGCATAAACGGATTTAGCGTAGTTAATTGACCTGTCTGTCCAACCAAATTTCGATATGACTGTTGTTGCTGTCAGTGGAAGTTCTGCCCCTACAGCTCCTACTGGAGTGAAGAAGACTGCGAAATCCAAGAAAGCTCCATCAGCTCATCCTCCATATGGTGATATGATCAAAGCTGCTCTTAAAGAACTCAAGGAACGTGGGGGTTCAAGCCGTCAAGCCATTGCAAAATACATCAAGGCTAATTACCAAGTTGACGACCGTGTCGAAAGCCACTTACGTCGTGCTTTAGTGACTGGTGTCAAGTCAGGAAAACTGGTTCATACTAAAGGAATTGGTGCATCCGGCTCGTTTAAACTAGCAGACAAGACAGCCTCTCCAAAGAAAGTCGCACATCCTAAACCTTCAAAGCCCAAGTCATCACCAAAAAGGCAGCCGCTAAAAAGCCAAAGGCCACGAAACCAAAGTCCACAACTGCCAATCCTAGCAAACCTGCAGCCAAACCAAAAGCACCTAAACCAAAGGCTACCAAATCTCCGAAGGCCAAAACACCCAAGAAGCCTAAAGTAAGTGATCTTCCCCTCACTGGCTACTGTCGGTTTTTGATGGATTCGAATTGAATATTATTTCATGATTGTTGTATTCCTAACGTTTTTTAGGCGGTGAAACCTAAGAAGCCGGTAGCAAAGAAGACTCCCAAGAAGACCGCAAAGAAATAAACGCATTTCAATCATATATATTTGTACATATGTTTCGTCTTTGTCTTATTTCCTTCACTATGCCTCTGATTGTTCAGATTGTATTTTATTTATTCCTGCATTCTCTAATAAACGTGTACTGTCATCCGTTTAGACCGTGTTGTTTTTTTCGACTTGCGAATGGTTAGGTTTCTGGGGGTTTCGTCTTACTAACTCTTCAGCTCTTTACTAACTGAATGTCGTTGCTATTCCGTTTTGTACAGCTCCGTATGTGTCTTTTTCGGGCGTTCAAAAGGACGTTGTTGCGATACTCAGTGTACTAGGTGCAGTGATACTACTCGTGGCTATAGCATTGCTGATAGGATGGGTCGTCAAGTCCCGCCGCCGATGGTCGCAAAGAAAACTCACTGCTCAAAACAGAATATCATGGTTGTCGCGTCAATATTCACGAATAGAGAATGAACAATATGATTCACGGTCGTCATTGCAGTTGGGTGCTGTCAATTCTGCGAAGATGAACTCATCTTCCGTCAATCAAGTAGGTTTTGCCTGTGGCCCCTTATCTTATTATCGTTAGAAAGCATTCTGGTTTGTCACGACGCCCATGCCAAATTCAGTTTTAACGTTCCCATTTAGGCGAAGTTGATCTGCCCCACACACACTATCCTATCCATAATAGCCGCTCAATCAACTGTGATTAGTTATCTACATTCACAGGCCTTCATTACTAATTCTACCAAAGTGAGCGGTATAAACCCAGTATGTAACACGATGAGGTCCGTGTCGTAGGAACTCTACCCTATTTTCAAACACTGATATTTGCAATTCAGTCTAGTTCTTCTCAGTCATTCAGTTCTAACATCCTAGAAATGTAGTCACACTAGCTACGTGTCAGATAACATGTGTAGTTCCCCACATCAAGCTACTCGCAAACCATATTTAATCCCCGTTTGTCCATTATTCCCCATTGTTGTTGGGATATATATTGCAGAAGGATAAATGTTGTAAATGATTTCTTGGCGTATGCTTCACAAGCAGCTAAGATAAAACTAGATTACCACGGTAGTGTGAAAAAACCGTTGGAAAATTACCAAAGGCTAAGGATTTGGGTATTATCATGAAACTAAGAAATCCAGACCATACTTGTTACCACTGTCTTGGATGAAGTTGAGTGATGCCTGATGGAATCATTATAAGAATGCATAGTAATGTAAATAAGCTGGGACTCATAATTATCATGAAACATTCAGAACCGGGTCGTTTTCACTTTAAACAGGCCCCTCCTAAATTTCGGTTTCAGAGTTGAGCTACTCAAATTGGATTTTAGTAGTATACAGCCATGGAACAAGATTTACGGACATCTATCTCGTACAACACCTTCCTTTAGTTGGTGAGTGTTATCATTATATGCTTGATTATCTCAACGGAACGGTAGATACTTAAGTTTAAGTTTGGACTAGTAGGGAATTTAACTAGTTTGATAAATACCTCACCATACCATTCCAATTTAAAGAAGTATGTTGTTTAGCTCCCGAAGAACACATTATTGCTAGTTATCGTTAAGAGTAACTTTCTTGCCCTCAATTGTCTTCATTAGTAACCAACAGTATCAAATCACCGATACTAGACCTTTCCTGGTAGACATTTTGACCTGGTTGTACACGAGTTTGTTACAGTGTCCTAAGTGAGACTTATTTGGCATTCATTGGAATGCCGAACTGCGCTAGGTTGTTTTTTAACCCTGTGTAATATTATACATCATGATCGATTACTTTCGTCCTCTACCTATCTCTATAGAATCCTCTAGGAAGTGAATACAGTACTTTAAATAAATACAACAGTTATGAAAATAGATTGAATGTAAATATGACAAACAGTTCCAGTAAGAACCCCATGCTTGGTCGCATGCAATTGGCTTCATTTCATCAGCCCGTTGGATGCAACAAAGGCGATGTATTCAATCCCAGTGATTTTGTTTTTTCCTGAGAATGTACCAGATGAGGTTAGTTTATTTTTCGCAGTAATTTGAATGTTTTTATGAAATTATCTCGATTCCGTTGAGACATATCAAGTAACCGTGTACTCGAACCGAAAACCTTCAGAGTTTTGTAGACTTTAAGTCAATCGGTTAGACATCTGTATCTGATATTCTCAAATCAAACTAATCTATTATAAAAATATGGTTTCTTGTTACGTTGCATACTCGATACATATTATCAGTCTATCTGTCAAAGCTGTAGTTTGGTAGACTAGTATTGATATTGGGTGAAAATAAAATTTGTGCCGTGGCAAGATTTGAACCAGCTACCCCTGGGCTATCGTCCCAGTACTCTACCATTTGAGCTACATCACTGCTGATCTGATTTTTACTTCACTTCAATCACCATCCAATAATGACTTCTTATCTCAATCCAAATCAACTTGAATTTAAGAGGGGGAGCATCATTTTCACACGACAGTCATACAAAAACCTTGGTGATTGAAGTGAAATTAAGATCTGATCAGCAGTCATGTCTCGTAAGTGATATAGGGGAACGCTGGATCAGAAAATCCCTGGTTCGAGTCATGCTGTCGCCCAAATTTTCATCTCACCTTCAATTATCTCCAAGGTATCAATACTGGAACACTCATAAGCTACCTATCCTGTTAGTTCTGCCTTGGAGAGTAATCATCTTCACATTCACCAATTGGTGTTCAGAATTACTCTAAGAGGACGGAACAAGTCTAGTATTTGTTGTAAATACACTGTGTTGGTTACCGACGAATTTGTTTTCTATGCTAAGGATTTCATATCGATCTTTGAATTCTTATAGCTGTAATTTACTCAGTGGTTAGCAGTGGAATCCAGGACACGCGTTTCGTCCTACTCGAGACTCATCAGCCATCAACTCATACAGAAACTAAAAGAGAACTACCAGGTTCCCAGCTGAGCATTTTGTTATTCAGCTGGTATGGAGCATCCCAATTAGCAATGAAAACTGACTTAAAAGTAAAAAATTGATCCACTATGTACCATGTAGCTAAATTTGATGTATATTTGTGGATGTGATAAACGGGCAGATGTCACACTTTTTTTACAGCCCGTTTATTTTCTGACATAAAATGAAGTGATCAATAGATATATGTCTACATCACTACACCTGTCTTTGTGTGAGCGAGTCATTCCACTTGATGTATGCAATTTTTTATGAAAAGAATAATGAAATTGGTAGAATTTTATTGATTGTGTTGAACCGAACATTCATCTATCGATCACAGCATAAGGCAAAGAGAATAATGTGCATAGTTTTCTTTGACCTTACTTATTGATTATTTTCATCACTGCTATTGATTTTCACTACATGATTTAACCTTGAACATCTGTATACCATGTGACCTACGTATATCTTCCTATCCTTTTAGATTTTCACGTTTGTTCCAAAAGTTGTTAAGTTTGACAATTGGATCACTTCCCCTTTTGTTTTGTGCTCTACAATGTCTTACTTGTCTAGCTGTTAGTCTTTTTATCTATCCATTTGTCTAATACAGTGAATCATACAAGTAAGGAGAGAAAATATTTCCGCTTTCCTAATGGCTATCCTTTATTTAGCTTCTACTTTTTTAAATCATGGTTTGATTTCTTTGTCCTTGGAATATCAGGACCATTGTCTGGTTTGTATGAACAAAGAAGTGTGCAACAAATGATGATGACCTTCGTGAACATTTTAAGCTTCTAAGAGTTTAAAATTGGGTAGTATTTGTCGAAATGTAAGTAGTTTCAAATGGATATACTTTAAAAGATGCATCTCCTTTACAGAGGCTGATAATTTTCAGTGAACTTGAATCTCAGCCTCTGTGGCGTTGCGTGATTACAAATCTGAAAAATAAATTGTATTCAAAACGTTATTATTATTTTTCCCTTGGTTTCCTAGTGGAACATAGGGCTTCGGTAGCACGTCATCATTTCTCTCTCTTCCTTGCAGTCTCTTGAAACTAGCTCCACGACTGCCCAGAAGCTTTCATTTCTTCCTCATACGGTCTCCTCCATGTCACCCTCGGGCGCCTAATTCGTCGTCCCCCGTTTGGGTTCCACTCGAGGGACTGGTCCTTGATGTTCCCAAGCGGTCTTTTCATTGCATGTCCAATCCATCTCCACTTATTAGCGACTGCAGTTGTCTATAGAATTCCTGCTTCTCTTGATCTGCATTGTTTGTAGGTGTATAGCTTAGCATTGTATGATAGTGACCTTCCTTCCTTTCGAGTTGAACCTTGCTGTCATGATCCTGCAGGAGGAGATTGGTACCCACTGCATAAGAGCCTTCGATGCTCTTTGAGACATCGTGATAGCCACTCCAGAACTCAGTGTGTTTGTGGTTGTCGTCTGGTTGACAATATCGGAATAGATTACTGACTCTGCAGTTGACAGTTTGGCGAATCCACTTCCATTCCATCTGCTCTCACAGATTCCAAGCACTTCTACATCATATCTTCTCATCTCTTTTGCAATTTGGGCAGTCTTTCTAGGTTCGGACATTCCATGTCCCCATTCTTTCTTTGCTTTCATCGAAAGAAGAGAAGATATATTGACCAGTTGGCTTCCTGAAGGCTTCCACCGGCGTCATTTCATCTCCCCGATTCCAGCAAGGAATAAGTTCTCTTAGTATTTTCTTTGTGCTTAGGAGTTTCTTTAGCGGTTAGATTGATTTTCCGGGGCAGGGTTCCTAGCCCCACGCCCAACCTTCCCTCTTTATCCGGGTTCAGGACCGGCTAGTAAACTAGACGAGGTTATACAAAAGGTTAAATGGTAAATAATACTGTTTCACTGATGTAGGAGAAAAACTTGGTCACTGTGGTAGAGTACAATCCCATATTCGACTGTATAATTAACTGGATGACGTTTCGAGCAGAATTTATTGCTCATATTCATATCAAAGTAATCATACGACCTTCAAACTTTCGTTATACTGTCCAACAGTTCTCCGTTCGTTTATTTAAATAATAGTAAAGTTGTCCAGATATCTGTAATATATGATGATTCATTTCTGTTATATGTCAGGAATGAACTCAACACTTAGCATAAACTCAGGAATAGTTTCTATTGAAGATACTGCGCTGGGAATACTGTTGTATCTAACTTCCATGGTTTTCAAATTTTAAGACAAAATATATATAAACAAACAGAAGTGGCGATAGCAACTCCAATATCCTCGATCGTAGCAGACATATTCATTGACATTATATAAGTACATTTTAATATAATCCTAGAGTCATCGCTGAGTATCTGTCCTCATGACCATCAGGCTTTGACTCCACCGGTCACGACTTGTCATTGGAACTTCGGGAATACTTCTCGAAGCTAGTCACCAATGAGCACCAATTCAATTAAATTTTGAGGGAGTTCCTCCTACTAATGTCAGTCTACGATGAATAACAACTTGAAATATTTCCAAATCTCCACAACTCCCTCAAAATTTAATTGAACTGGTGCTCATTGGTGACTAGCTTCGAGAAGTATTCCCGAAGTTCCAATGACAAGTCGTGACCGGTGGAGTCAAAGCCTGATGGCCATGGAGACAGATACTCAGCGATGACATTGGATGGCGGTTGCGCTATATATCGTGAGCTAACAGAAGTTGGAAATATGGAGCATTGGATTCTGACCCAGTGGCTAAATGGTAACGCGCTGGCCGCGGAACCTGAAGGTCGCGGGTTCGATCCCTGCTGGTGGGGTTGTGGGTGCGCACTGCTGAGGAGTCCCATACTAGTGTGACGAAACAGCTGTCCAGTGCTCCCAGATTTCCTTTATTCCTCCAACTGATGTCAGTCTTCGATGAATAACAACTTGAATAATTCCAAAATCTCCACAACTCCCTCAAAAATTTAATTGAACTGGTGCTCATTGGTGACTGGCTTCGAGTGTTTAGAAAATCGAAAACAAGATTTTTCTAAACTTTTCGCGTGTATACCACAGTTTCTTCAGTAGAATATTCATGGATAGTTGGGAACAAATGGTGCTAGGAACATTTCATCCTATTCCAAAAGTATGATGGCGATATGTGTTCCAATCAAAACCGTATCTTAAGTTTTTTTTTTCGCACACAATCCAATTCACTTATGAGTTGAGAACTGAAGAAAGAGAATTACCTATGAGCGGCTGCAAAATCAAGAGGAGTGAAGATGGAAGCTGAGATACCAGTGTTTACAGGAAACCAACATGTTCAACTAGGTACTTGGATTTCACATCATCTCACCCCATACATCTGTCACGGTAAGATTAATAAAATGTCTAAGTTATCCGGTGTTAGACTTTGACCAGTAAGTTAGAAAACCTAAATTAGGAGCTGAAACAAATCAAAAAGAGAACTTCTTAATAACAACCCTGTGGAGCTTATTAAAAGGTCTATAAGGACTGATAAGAGAAAGAGTGGTAATGTTAGTAGTGGTTACAACATGCCTAAGAGGGTATTCAAATCCTTTATAACGTTGCCATATAAAGAAGGCACATCAAAATGTTTATGTAGATTTCTTAACAATGTTGGGCTTAGAGTGGCATTTAAAACTAAAAACCCGCTCAGAGAGAAACTTGGAAGGCTAAAACGTTAAGTACAGCCAATTATGACAAATTCTGCACTCAGCATGCGGAAAAAGATCCGGATTTTCAACACCAACTCAGTCAAGTCAGTGCTTCTGTATGGTTCAGAGACTTGGCACGTTACGAAAGGCATTTCCAACAAACTACAGATATTCATCAACAACTGCTCGTTACTGAAGATCAGATGGCCAGAAAGAATAAGCAGCAATGAGCTCTGTGAACGAACCAACCAAGAAGCTATCGCTGAACAAATATGCACTGGAAGGAAGTGGAGATGGATTGGGCATACACTGAGAAGGCCGACTGGAGACATCATACGTCAGGCCATGCACTCGAGTGGAACCCCCATGGGAAGCGACAAGTTGGGCGTCCGAGGTGAGGGTGACATGGAGGAGATCGTGCGAGGAGGAAATGAGAGGTTGTGGGCTGTCGTGGAGCCAGGTTGAAAAGATTTCAGAGAACAGAGTTCATTGGAGACGTGCTAGTGAAGCCCTATGTTCCATTAGGAACCCAAGGGACTAATAATAATTATTATTATTATGATAAATAACCTAGTCTATCGAATATCATGTAATGATTGTGAGGTCAAGTATGTGGGTCAAGGCAGCCCGATCGGTGTAAGTCAGAATAGTAGACCATAAAAATTTACTCAAAAACACGCAACGGTAGATCCTACTGAGATAAGTAGTTTAGAGAAAACCATGGCTATCACTCTGCATGCACTGACTCATAATCATACTATATTGTGATTAGGATAGTGCGACAGTTTTAAAACCCAATACAACTCTACCTGGTGGGAGAAATAGATCACAGAGTTTTTGTTCATGGAATCAAATCCTAGAGAAATGACTCACTACATATTGCAGATATCTAGAAAATTTTACCGTTTAAATAAATGAACGGAGAGCTGTTGAACTATGCAACGAAAGTTTGAAAGTCGAATGATTTATATGAATATGAGCAGAAATTCCTGCTCAAAATGTCGTCCAGTAAAAGCATACTTTATCTCTGTGTTTAATATCAAATGAACAATCTAATATGGAACTGTTTCACCGTATATCATATCCAGTAGTATACTGGCTGGTCATTAGGAGGGTAACCAACTCTACGTTATCTAGACGTAACTGCTGTTTGATCATTTTGCATTGTGGCCTCTAAACTAGAGGACTCACCATCGCAATGCACTGGGATGTATACTACTTGGTTGGAGGTAATCAGTAAGAAGATCTGCCAGACCCAAGTTCCCTGCTTTCTAGTTTTCTTCAGCATAGTGTACCTGCAATATCAACCGAATTGATGGTAACGTCTATGACTAAAGCACTGGGTGACGAGGGGTTCAAATCTCCAATGTGACACCAGTTCCGTCGACTTTGCAGATACGCCTTACTGACAAGAGCCACAGAGCCCAAAACCTCGATGAACCAGAGATTCCCATCGGTTGGGAATCTAATAGTCTTCATTATACAGTATCAAATAAACTACACTGTTCCACTCAGTTTGTGTACCATTTTGATCGATATTCACCTTCGTAATCCTTTCAAAAAATTCTACTTCCAGGTTTCCAGTGGAGAATATTCAATTTCAGACAGTTTTACTGATGGTGACTCATCATCTGAAATGTCAGAAAGTCAACCAGGGGGCTTGAACAGACGTTTGCAAAGAAAAAGTCATCATTATGATAATGGGCCAATAAAGTACCGTGAGGGTGAAGTAATGGGATTTGTATCGACCAATGTTTAAATCTACTTTTCCAGACTAATGTTTATCAAAATGTTAATGTGTATTTTCTGTAAATGAATGCTATAGAAATGTTTTAAACTGAATATACTATTTATTAAACCGCTTGCGTGTAATTTGTTCGAAATGATTCAATAACCTGGATATTCCATGTTGAAGTTGCTTCTTAGAGTTTATCAACTTGCTGGAATTCGTTTGACAGCTGTTGTACATCACTTCCAACCTGCATGTTACTCATTCTAACCCTCATTCATTTACACGGGTTTGTACAGTCAATAATCCTCATATAATGACAGTCTATCATACACAGGCCAGCATTTCAGATATATAGTTTGAGGATGGAAGGCTATGAGGTTACATTAATCCATCTCCCGAGATCTCTGTGCTTTTCCACTCCTCTCGTTAACGAACCAACTGATGACGCACACACCACTTCTCTGAGGAGTTGGTTACTTAGTGCGAGAACCAGTACTCCACGGAGACTGCGTTCATCGTTTCATTTTGTATTCCTTCTGCTTTATCCTCTTATGTGTTCTAACTGTACTTTGCTTCCATAGGATAAAGCGGGCGTAAATAATTTCATGTTCAGCCTATTCATACCATATCGCTGCTGCATAATTCAATTATAACTTCTCGTTGACTCCAGAGGGGTGAATGTCATATTCTAAATTGCCTATACTGTTATTAGCAACGAAAAAGGCGTTAAGTCAGTCATGCATAATGAATGATGACGGTTGAAAGGTAGCTTTTGGAGTGAATACAGTCTACACTATGTGATATTGATCTTAGTGACTGGAAGGGGAATCCAGGATGCCTGCTTCCTCCCATTTTGGACTCGTCAGCTCCATTTACCTGAACCATAATGAGTGATGTTGTTCCCCCTAAGGATCGAACCGAGTGCCCTTCGCTTCAAACACCAGAGCGTTTTCCACTGGGGCATGAAAGTCGCCTCTTGTGCAAGGGGTATCAGTTGTTGTTATGATACTTGTAATTTCCCGAGCAATTCAGCCCAGTATAGCAACAGGGAACTACAAGTATTGAAAGAATAATTGATACCCGTTGCAAAAGAGGTGGCTATCGTACTCCATTGGTTTAGTGGATAGCGCTCTGGCGTTTGAAGCAAAGGGTACTGGGTTTAAGCCATAGTGGGAACAAAATCAATCACCGGGAGCAAGGTAAAACCAGCTAATGGGTCCTAAATAAAACGAAACGCGTGTCTTACATACCTCTGCTAACCACTAACCAGCGTTACCAATATATGTGCTCAAACTATAGCAAACTCGTCCCGGCTTTGTGCAAGTTACGAACTTTGTAGCTGAAATCAAGAATTCCGATGGAATAAAAGCTATTCCATGGGTTTCTAAGATGAGCAAGGGAGTTACACATATCCTTTATCACGTTACTTTAAAGGCCACCCTAGCAACAACTGAAATAACCAATTGGATTTTTAGATTTCATAAAAACTGCCTTCTCAGTCAAAATACTGAAACTTGATTAGGTATTTCAGCCGTTGCTAGGGTAGCCTTTGAAGTCACTCCATCTATCTATGTCGTAACTCGCCAATTTCACAACCACTGAAATAACCAGCTGTTACTTTTTTAATTTCGATCCGACAAGTAGATTTTTTCATGAATACCCAGAAGTTTACTTCGGTGCCCCTTCATCATAGACTAACATCAGTTGGAGAATCATCGGAAACCTGGAAGAGCTAGACAGCTACTTCGTCATAGTATGGGCTCCTCAGCAATGCTTACCTGTGACTGCGATCCCAGTACCTTTGTGTTACGAAGCCAGCACGTAACTATTAAGCCACTGGATCGATATCCAACGGTCTACATTTCTTACCTCCGATACTTCAGTGCTCATTACAGACTTGCTTCGAGATGAGATTCCCAAAGTTCCACAGTTACCCATGGGGCCAACTAAGTCGAACATGAAGACAGTTACTCAACGTTGCAGTTGGATGGAGGTTGCACCATGTCGCGAACTGACAGAAGCAAGAAAATGCGAAACAGTGGATTTCGACCCACTGGCTCAATGGTGACGTACTGGCCACAGAACCTGAAGGCCCTTGGTCGTGAGTGTGTACTGCTGAGTAGTACAGTACCCGGACAAAACAGGTGTCCAGTGCTACCAGGTTTCCAATAGTTCTTCAACTGATGTCACTCCATGGTGAATATCAAGCAGAAATCAATCTATAAATCTACACAAACCTCCATACCAACTTGCATTAACTGGATTGTTATCCCTTACTGATCTTCATCTTTGTTTGTACTGGTTAATCCAACCATCTTTTCTAAATAGAGTCAGTGTAGAAGGTTTTCTATCTTGGTTTTTAAGTTGCGTGGGTACTGATGGGGTCAGTGTTAGGATAAACCTTTTAGGTTTGCATGCATAAATCTTTCCAGGTGTGATTAACACTAGTAAAGAAGGATAATGGCTAGCAATGGAATCCAGGATGCGCATTTCGTCCTATTTGGGATTCGTCAGTTGAATATACCTGCCTCCCAGTGAGTGATGTTGTTCCCACCGTGATTCGGACTCGGAAGTGATCGCTTCAAACGACAGAGCGTTACCCACTACATCACCGAGTCACGATAGCCACTTCTCGTGAGACGGGTATAGTTTTAGTATAGTCGCTTGTATTATACCGACGTCAATTGGGCCGAATTAATCGGTCTGTATTGGCATATGGGCTCCTATGCAGATGCCTCGATATTACCTGTGTTCTAGTTATAGTAAAGATGGATACAGACCGCTCAATTAGGTCCATTCAACGACGGTATAATACAACCAATTATACTAATGTGATTAACACTGTCTATGTTTACCATAGTGGCTCCTTGGACTTTTAGGGATTAGCGTTTTCAGGATAGACATTCAATGAGTCTAATCGTAACCCTGATCTTGAGATTTGTTGCAACCTTGTTATGTGTGTGTTTGTCTATATGTTTGGGTATGAAAGGTCAATCAGAGGGAGTAAATCATCAATTTTCCGTTGATATCATTGTCTAAATTTGTACACGCACATCTATTATACAAGAATTATATTGAATAATAAGGTAGAATTGCGTCAATAACATAGTGTTTCTTGAAAGGTAAAGAGATTACGTAATAGTCGATAAGCATGGAATTTGACGCGACGAAAATTATTTTTTTGAAGTATGAAGCAAAATGTAGAGTAGATGATGTAATAAAGAAATAAGAAGGGTTAAATGAAGTTGACAATAGTGGAGTGACTAGTTTTATTGCAGTTAGAAGAGCAATCAGCGAGAAGGCGGGGATATAAGATCATGACAGGAAGAGAAACTGAAAGTACTTCTTTGGCAAAAACAATCATACTTGAACTGATAAACTGTGAGTACCTCCACTGTGCAACCTCATTTAGTGGGGTGAGATGGCCATCGACGATTAAAATCGAACCGGTGATCGATGTATATTCCTCTCTCTGCAGCCATACAGGATACTACACGGATGCGCGCTTGAAAAGTGTGGTCAATGTAACTAACCAGCTCATGAGGTGCAAGTAAACTTACAAACACTCAACAAGGTGGCTCAAAGTGACAGCTTGTGCTTAGCGCAGAAAGAGGTTCTCAGCTCCCTGGATATCTCTGTTTTTCGGTGTTTTTCTTGTTAAGACTATCAGCTATGTAGGTGAACAGTTGGAAGAAAAGTCTATCATTGTTGGAACCTCGATAGATGACCTCAAAGAATTATTGCTCAAATGCATGATGAATGTTGACTTTAACGGTGAACTACGAAGACAAATGGGTGGAGTCACAATGGGCTCACCACTGAGTCCCGTATTAGCGGACTCTTTACGATCGAAACTAGAGAATTTTCATTTTACTGTTGATACATGGATGACACGTTCATCTTGTGGGAAAACAACGTAGACAGACCAAAGATATTCAGCAGATTCATCACAGTACACTCAGCTTTGAAGTTTACATGTCAGGAACAGTCAGAAAGCAACAAAGCTTTCCTTGATGTTTTACGAGCCTCAGCAAAACAACGTCACTCACTTGGGTGCAGACATATCCGGCTGATGAGTCTGAATTAGGACGAAACACCCATCCTACGTTCCTCTACTAGTCATCAAGATCAATGTGGTAAAGACCATTACCAGCTCCACCTTAGCATACTTTGTTGTAACAACCTTAAAATAAATATGAATAAGTCGTTTTTTGTTTTGTACTGGGTTTTCATCAACTTGCCAAAGGGTACCCGGCTCCGAATCCTTCCGATTGCTGAAGCAGTAGCAATTAGTTTCAAACAACCTAAATTGTGTTCAGAAAAGCTAGTTTTGCTGCTGCAACTACTATGGCCCGATTGAGGACGCACAAATTCCTTCTTATCCTACCTCAGGTAGTCTGATCTAATTTCTTTACTGTAGATATTCCTTTATCGCTATAGTCTGAAATAATGGTAACAGATTCTTTTAACCTATTTTGTCCCCCAACATGAGTAACACTCTCTTAAGGTATTATTCCTCAAATTATCTTTTTCAGTTTCTTTCATCCAGCTCTCATAAACACCTTCCTATTGATCCCATCATTAAAGTTCACACAAGACTTTTCTGAATTAACTTCCTCGATTAATAAGCGAAATCCTTATATGGTTGAGGCGTAATTCCTCAATATGTACGTATAACTGTAAGATGAAGAAGTTATCGAAAATAATTTAGCTACACTTCCACTAATGAAATTAACTTTCATATGGATATTCTCTTCCGAAACTGCATCGTTTTGCTCAGTATTTGAAAAACACAACTGATTCTTATTAATTGTCATTGTTATACTGGAACACAGTGATCAATCTCATTTGTTGGCATATGACCTCCTGCATAGATGCCTGGATATTGCCTAAAGTTTTATTGTGTTTCACTTTCCTCACTGCGATGCTCGCATTCCAAGTTTTTCCACAATCAACCTGGTTGGATGATATACAATTCACTGTCAGCTGTGGGATCGGTTCGAATTCTCCATATTCCATCGGATTAAATTTCGCAAATGACGTCTCCTTAAAAAAAATTGTCTTCAGCGATCTGCTTTTTATTCTCATGATAATTTTAAGGTTAAGTATGGCTAAGTATACATTAGACT